ACACATGTGCACTCCCGCAAGCGCGCCGGCGCGCCCCGCGCGCACGCCGGGCATGTACACAAATAAGGGCTAGTTTGCAAAATATGGCCAGGCCCGCGCCTGGCGCGCGCGCGCGGCGTTTGCACGCCCGTGCGCGCACTCCGCGCGCACGCACGTACACCCCGCGCGCGCGCCCGTTCCCGCCGCGCGTGCTCACGTACACCCCGCCCGCGCGCCTGCGCGCGCACCGGGCACGTACACAAATAAGGGCTAGTTTTTCAAAAATAAGGCCTTATTTTTGAAAAACTAGCCCTTATTTGTGTACGTGCCCGGTGCGCGCGCGGGCGCGCGGGCGGGGTGTACGTGTGTACGCGCGGGGGGGACGGGCGCGCGCGGGGGTGAGCGGGCGCGGAGTCAGCCCCATGCATAATGCAGTGGCTTCCAGTTGTAAGAAGGTTCGGAGTCAGACAGCTTGGAAATGGATTGAAATAGAAGAGAGTAAGTCAGATATAAGTCTGTTTTTGTGGTGGCTAACATTTTTTCTTATCAGATGCGGTTGGTTATGTTCCGCAGGGGATATAGTAGACGTAGGCGTAGCTACTCAGGAAACTAAAAGATAAGACATCTTTGTACCTTCCACATCTCTTCTAACCAAAAGAAATTGAAGATAATAAAGCATCTGTTTGCATATCTGTGTTTATTTTGCTCTTGTGTTTTGTGTTCTTATCTGCTTTGCTATGTTTGGTCTGGTTTGCTAGTTTTGCAAGTTTAGATAGCGCATCAAATGCACTTTTCAAGCAAAAGGGCTTTGCCACTATTAAAAGGCACATCAGTGTTGTTGTGATGCGTGGCCTTCCTCACTTTGATGGAATTGTTTCCTTATTGCTTGATGTTATGACAAGCTCTACTAAACAATCTCATTTCACAAAAAGCAGTAGGCCAACCAAGCAGGCCAGTGACAGGCCCTGAAAAAATCCAGCTGCGCAACCAAGCATTGCAGTGACAGGCCCTGAACAAAATCCAGCTGCACAAAAACGAAAACGGGAGCCACACACCCAAAAAAAACAAAGTAGAAGCCCAACGGAAAATAGCACTTCACGAAGAGAAGCAGGCCGACCAAGCAGGCCAGTGACAGGCCCTGAACAAAAACAGTTGCGCGCAAAGAACAGCATCCAGGCACAAGAAGCAAATTAGAAGCCCTACAAGGCCTTGAACAAAATCCAGCGCTGCACAAAAAGCAGCAGGCGCACGCAACAAGCAAATTAGAAGCTCTACTACTTGAACCCGACCAAGCAGGCCGGCGACAGGCAAGGAGCAAAATCCAACTGCATTACAAAAGCCGGTAGGCGCACACAACAAGCAAACTAGAAGCCCTTCAAAACAAATCCCACTTACAAAAAGCAGCAGGCCGACCAAGCAGGCCAGTGACAGGCCCTGAAAAAATCCAACTGCGCTAAAAAAAGGCAGGCGCACACAACAAGCAAACTAAAAGCACTTCGGAAAAAACAACAACAACGCTTCACGAAAAGCAGCAGGCCGACCAAGCAGATCCACGAAAAATAAGCAAATTAGAAGCCCTACTGAAAAAACAACTTCACGAAAAACAGCAGCCCGACCAAGCGGGGCAGTGACAGGCCCTGAACAAAATCCAGCTGCGCAAAAAAGAAAACGGCAGCCACACAAAACAACAAACTAAGAGCCCAACGGACAAAACCCCACTTCACGAAAAGCACGAGGCCGACCAAGCAGGCCAGTGACAGGCCCTGAAAAATCCAGCGGCGCACAAAAAAGCAGCATCCCCGCACAATAAGCAAATTAGACGCCCTACAAAAAATGTCCCACTTCGCAAAAATAAGCAGCAATCCAGCGCTGCACAAAAAATCGGCAGGCGCACACAACAAGCTACTAATTGGACATCGCAACAAGCAGCAGCCCGACAAAGCAGGCCGCCGACAGGCCCTGAAAGAAATCAACTACGCAAAAAAATGCATTTGAACTGTTTGACCTCCCTAAATAAAGAAAGACTATTGCGAGGACCCTGGACTTTTGAAGCGCTTGGGCCCCTGTGTGCAGAAACATCACTTTGGGGGACCTGGGACTTTCAACGTTTTGAACTTGGTTCTAAATCAGGAACTAGGCCCTGGATTTTGACCTTTGGTTTGTCTTTCGCAACTTCCGCCAACCCAAACTAAATGAAACAAGCGGCCCCTCCAAGATAGCGGCCCCTCCAAGATAGCGGCACCATCCAAATCACAAACCCAAACATACCCAAATTATGGTAAATGGAAAAAGCGGCCCCCTCCACACCGCCAACAACAATTAATTAGATGACATTACAACCACCAACCGTTGCACCAACCCAAACTAAGTGGAAAAGCGCCAACGCAAACTAGATGAAACAAGCGGCCCCTCCAAACCAGCAACACAAACCAATTGGAAAAAGCGGACCCCTCCAAACCACCAAGCCAAACTAAATACAAAAGCGGCCCCATCCAAACCACCAACACAACATTAATGAAGCTGGAACGAAACAAGCGGCCCCTCCAAACCAGCAACTACTAACCCAAACTAAATGAAACAAACAGCAGCCCCCTCCAAACCAGCAACCAAAGCCCCTCCAGACCTCTTCTTTGCAAGGCCAGGCTTTCCCTCCTTGGTTTTACTGCACCAGTTACTTGTCTTATTGCGCAAGGATGATGCCATTGTTTGGATTAGGCTTATATCTTGCTACTTTTAGAAGGGTGCGCAACGTGCGACGCGGCGCAAATCCTGGCACGGAGGTGTGTAGCGGGGGCCCCTCGTTAGTCTATAACGAGAGAACAGTGCTTGACACTTCCTTCCGCAGTTCCAGCTCGAAAGTCGCAACTACTGACTCACCTGGCCCTTCCTGCCACCTGTTGCAACCTTTCTTCTACTCAAGGGCAAGCGCTGTGCAAGTTGGCTCTACAGGTATCAGGCTCTGCAAAAAAGTCTGCTTTGCAAGCGACGGGCAGTTCGCAAAGTCTGGGCATGCTGAAACCAGTGAGCTTCGTAGACCTGGGCAAGTCGCATTTTGTGATCCGCAGCTTGTAAAGGTTACGGCGGACTCGCCGATCCATTTGGTCTAGGACGGATCGCAGCAAAAAATATGCAGCTGGCTCGCTGCTGTTCGCCTGTCATTCGTGCGTTTATCCACCCAAAGTATGTGCGATGGCTCGCGGATCATCCTTTATTGCTCGCTTTTTGGACAAAGTCAATTATTTCACAGTGTTTTATCTGTGGTTTAAAGTTATCATAGCATGGGATATCTTTTTTACATCTTCTATCATGTTGTGTCATTTTGTTTTTTCTTAGTATCTTCCTAGTAAAGGAAACAATTCTCTGCTTCCAGTTCGCTGCTTCCAGGTCCTTGCTTGCAGGTCATTCTTTCTAGTTCCTTGCTTTTCAGGGAACTTGCTTCCAGGTCCTCGAGGTGCAAATGGTCAAGCATCAGAAAGGTTTAAATTAAGGTCTTCCCAGCCTGTATGTTGGAAGTGTCTTTTACGCCTTGGAATCTTTGGAAGCCCCGCCCGCCCACCCGCCCACGGCCCGCCCGCCCGCCCACCCGCCCACTGCCCGCCCGCCTACGCGCACGCGCACATGCACACGCACGCACGCACGCACGCACGCCCAGGCGCGCACGCGACGATGCGCACGCACGCACGCAACACGCGACGCGCGCTCGCACGCGCCGCACGAGCCACGTGCACCGCACGCGCGCCGTACGCACACACACACGCCTCCGCTGCGCGCACCTCGCGCGCCCCCTGCTGCTGGGGGCGCACGCACGCGGGGGGGGCGGGGGGGGGGCCCCCCCTCCCCGCGAGCACCCGCCCGCGCATCCGCGCACCGTTTCGCGACGGAACTTGAACCTTCAGAAAAGTCAGAACAAATCAGGCCCACAGGCCTTTTGAACCTAGATAAATTAAATGTTTAAAATATGATGTATTGATTGATAATGACTTTGATTTTTTAAATGAGTTTTTAAATTATAAGTATGGAACTAACGAACTTAGATATACAATAACACGTGCAATTGGAATAATGGGAAGGTTTAGAAAACAAATAGGAAGTAATATTTATAATGAAACAACGTGTGATAAAATAATAGAAAGAATTAAGGAAGAATGGTGCCCCCTCAAAAACGAATGAACCAGACCTTGCCCACAATATTTCTACAAAATTTGTGATAAAATTTATTGTAAAATAAGTTATCATAATTTTTGGAATAATATTTGTTGAAAATTTTGTAAAATTATATTTTCTAAAATTATATTTTTTAAAATTATATTTTTTAAAATTCTTATTTTTTGATGTTTTTAAATTTTGTAAAATTTATATTTTAAAATTTATATTTTTAATTTGTTTTGTTAAAATTTATATTTTTAATTTATTTTTTTTAATTTTGTAAAATTGTATTTTTTTAAGTTTATACCTTTTAATTTTGTAAAATTATATTTTTTTTTAAATGAATGAACTTAATCTTGCCCATATATATATTTTGAAAATTTTGAATATAAAATATTGGATAAACTGACTAGGAAATTACCTGCTTTGAAATGTTGATTTTTGAAAATGTGCTGTTTGAGGTGCTGTTTCAAAATGTTGCTAAAAGTGTAGGGGGGGTCTGGGATTTTTTCTAAAAAATAGATGGGCAAGGTCTGGTCTAACTGGAGCTCGGGTTTGGCCCATTAAGGAAGAGGGTGGCCAATAGTCTTGGTACCCCCAGATTGATCATGGAACCCATGAGGTAAAGCGGCGCAAGTCACGAGTGCCTCAAAACGCAAACAACTGGGTATTGAATCGGAACTCGCTTGCTCTCATGTTTGCTGGTTTTTGCAACTCATCGAACCATTTATCAGGTGCGGTTTTCACCCGTGGCCTTCCAAAACTGTTCCACAATGGCAAAGTGCCTGAGCATCCCTCCCCCCCCCCAGCAAGCAAGGCAAGCAACTTCCTCCACCAACTCTGGGGTGGCATTTCGCTCATTGCAGGCCAGCGGCTTCTGACGAGCAACCTCCCGCGCAGACTCGAAGCCCTGCGGCTCCGGCAACACCTCCTCCTCCGACTCCTCTGCTGTTTCTGGCTCCGCCTCTGGCAACTCCACCTCGGGCTCCTTTGGATCTTCTGGCTGGTCTGCCTCTGGCGCAGCTAGTGCAGCTAGCGCAGCTGGCAGAGCTGGCGCAGCTAGCGCAGCTGGCGCAGCTGGCTCGGCCTTAGCGGCGCTGGCCCCACCAGGCGCTGGGTCTTGGGCCGCTTTGGCAAGACGTGACTCATGGCCTACCTGCTTCCAGGAGGCCAGTTGTATCGCCCACTTGGCGAGGAGCTCCTTGTGCCGCTCGAGCACATTCAAGTCCTGAGCCACAATGGGTAAAAATCACAATGGCTGCCATAAACTCCAGAATGTGCCCCATGCATGTAGACGGTGATTACCGGTTTGGGGCCCAAAAGGAAACAACAAACCGTCCAAGTGCGCTGCTTGCACATTTTCTCGCTTGAACAGCCACACTGCGGATGCAGTTGATGTTAACCCCCAAACTGACCGATTGAATTCTTCACCCTCTTCTGCGTGTTAAAGGGGCCTTTCACAAAGCAGCCAAACAGAAACACAACGGAGGGAAGACGGTCGGGGTAACATGGCTTTTCACATGCAAATCCGTGACGGGCGCGTTTTTAACGCCACCGCCAGGTAGACTGTCGGCCACTGCCGCTGCTACCACCCCATGTGCTCCATTCATCATTGGACCAGTCCTGCCAGCATGAGCTTCGCCACTGCTCACCCTCGCGGGCGGCGGGAGCTGAGTAGCCCCTTGAGTGACGTGCAGCGTTCTTCACGAGGTGCTTGTCGCTGTCGTTCCTCGCGAACTCCACCGAATTCCATGCTGCCCGCTCATTCTGACGAAAAATCCAATCCAATTCGCGTTGGAGCTGTGTTTCATTGGCGCCGCTGAGGTTCATCACGCCATTCCAGCAACCAATGCTGCGGGGCTTGTTTGTTCAAGAACAACCTGCGTAAACGCGCGAGGCGAGTACGGCATGCCCTGAAACATAATAATCCACCGTGACACCAGTGCGTCCTTCAGCTGGGGGACCATGAACTCAAGCTCAGTCTTGATGTACGCGAGCCTTGCGTTTCTGAGCCTGTAACTCCTCGGAGCTGCGAGGACGAGGTTAGCTGAGAGCTCCATTCTGAGCATATCCGTTTCACGGCCCACTTCAATCATTCGGACGCGGTGCTGCATGTCCAGCTGTCCTTCAGCAAGTGGCTACCAGGGTTCAAGCCTCTCACGATCTGATGCGATCCTCCTTGCGCAGGTCGGACGTGCCAACTGATGCTAATGCCTGAGCAGTGACCTTCGTGCTCAGGCCCATGTTCTTCCAAAATGTCCGGTGTGCGCCGAGATTTTTGAGGGCCAGATCAACTGCACTACTTGCGGGCAGCTCTCGCCTCTCAATCCACGCCTTCTCACACTTGACCTCAACGTTTTCCATGGGGTTGAAGGTCTTCTGACGCTTAGCATCCCCTTGCGAGGCACGAGGCGAAGCAGCATTGGTCCTTGCGGTGGCAATCTTCTCCAGGGCTGTGCTTCGGTCGTCCATAACCGCCTGCTCTCTCTTCATGCCCTGATTCTCTGCTGCAACCGATTGCTCAGAGTGCGACCAAACATCGCCGTTGGTGGCATCCAGGACCGAGAGGATGGTGTAGTTAGGGACCTTGTCCCTGGTCAGGATGCCATCGCTCTCTGTCTTGAAGAATACCAGTCCAGCCCTGATCGCCATTCGACAGTCCACCTGAATTTCAAGAGGACACCGGAGACACGTGCGGCCGGCCCGTCTCGTGGTGCTCACCGCCTCCTGGAACCAGTCCGAACTTCATGACACCAGCAAAATTGAGTTTGTCGGAGGGTTGTCACTGACGCCTGTCCATTGCCCAAGATCTGTGCCGGGGTTCACGTACCATTCCTTGGCGATGCCGGCATCATTGATGTCCAGCCAATCCTCATGGCCCTGTGACGCCTTCACCTTGAAGAGCCAGTAATTACACGGCACATCTCCGCACCGGCTCGCGTCCGGGCAACCAAGGGCAATGAACCCCTGTTTCTTGTCAAGCTTAAAAACGTCCATGACATTCTGCATGTTGCAAGGGATGGGGTGCTTGCACCCGCCTCATTGCGTCCATAGGAATCCAATGGAATCGGCTTCGGAATATCCTTGGGCTCCTCGACCTTCTTTGCAACCGCTGCTAATTGCACCGGCTTGCGCCGGGCGGACACCTTGAGAGATCTCGGACCCGACGATGTCGTCGGCAGGAGCGAAATCAGCGGGATTCACCGGCGCGAAGTTGAGGGGTTGCCTTGTCTCCACCTTTTCCTTGCTAAACGGGAGGCCGACCATTTCGCACAAGCTACTGCCGCATTTTGTCAGCGGCGTTTCCTTGCAATATGTGAGGACTTCCACGTTGACGGTGTTGTCCTCCTTGTTGCGTTGCTCGCACTGGTTGATGGGGCGCACCGGGCACTGGCGCGCATGGATCAACTCAGCTACGCTGCCCATCGCAGGGCGCAGGAGGGACAACATGTAGAGCATGTGATGTGTGCCACGCATGAACTGGACAGTCTTGCTCACGTTGTCGTCACTGAAGCACATGTGATACCTGTCCAGCAAATCGATAGTCTCAACGAATGGCGTGGCGTCCACATACACAAGCATCTGACTGGGCTCACTGATAATGAAGTTGCGAACCTTGCCCAGATCATGGAGAATCCGTATCACACAGCCCTTGCGGGCCGCGTAGTTCATCGTCCGGACGAGGCGCCTCTTTGCATCCTCGAGATGAGGGCGGCCATGCGCTTGCAAATCTGCGAAAGGCCTTTCCCCCACAGCATCTTGCACTTCCAAGGGCAAGACGAGTCCAGCCGCTCCGCGAAGTCATACTTCCGCAGCTTCCTCTTCCCGCCTGAAACCATCGACAACCCAGAATCGCCAACAGTAATATAAATTACCATATGTCGGTCTGGAATCTTCGGAGCTGCGAGGCTCCATGATCGTGAGCATGGGCGACAAGATCCGCACGTAGTGCGGCTGGTCCTGAATCCACGTGTGGATCAAGGATTGTGAAGAGGTCGATTCCAATAGCCCTTTCACCGTCGCCGCCAAGTTGCTGTCGTACTTGGCGTTCGTGCACACTGCAGTCGCAGCAATATTCTCCATCCATCGCCGCCATGCCGGGTCGCAATCCCTCGCGGGATGCGCAATTGTCGCCTGGCTGCTCATTGCGAAGGTGATGCAGCGCTGTCACTCGAAAGTATCAGCTGCATGGTGGTATGTTCGGAGAATGCGTTGCGCACGGCATTGGTGTAAACAAAAGTATATCCTTCCGCTTCCCTCAAGTGGGTTTCGCGACTGCTCGTGAGAACCATCACGTTTGAAGTACTCAACTATGGATATAGTGGGCATATTGCTAGCAACGACCCGTTGCTTCTTCATAGGTTTGCCACTCCTACCAGTGATGCCTATTTTACACCCATGGAATTCATACTTGTTCATCTTGTACTTAGTCAAGAAACTCCATAGTTCGGGCCACTTCCAATAACGACAAGCTTTGGGAAGTTCAAAAACAATTCTGACATCGTTTGAATAAACGTCATTTAGAATGCGTTTGAGACCCCGCAGCAAAGATCGGAATTGTTTCACGCGACCTTCGATCTTGGCAGCACCGTTGGGAGTTTGCTGATTGACACAGCCCCATGGGCAACCTCCGGTGCAGGGCATGGTCACGTAGAACAGAACAGACCCCTTGGGATTCTTGCCTCTGAAAGCGGCAATTGCACTGTTCAACCACTGCCTGCAGCAGGATGTTCGTAGCAACTGCATTGTGCTGGATTACATCGACAACGGGAACCCTGATTGGACAAGGTTCGCACGAGCACCTACCAGCAAATGTCTAATCTCGCCTTCCACAAATAACTTAGAAGAATCAACATATTCAATGGAGGTTTGGTGACGATACCCCAAATGCGGCTTTCAATTCACGGGAGTTGTTGGTATAGAGAACCTCAACCTCGTCTCTCCCTGAGATGAAATGCTGGATCCCTGCAACGGATTGCTCCGTGCTTTTGCTGGTTGACGGATACACGTACCTGAACTGCGTGTGCACTTCCTTGACCACAAGAGCACACCACTCCCCTTTGATGCCGGGTTGGCTTTAAGAATCACATGATCAGCAACGATGCGATCCCCGAATGCCTTGGTCTCGAGCCTTCCCTGTCCGCCCTTGGATCTGGCGTGCGGGGCAAGCATCTTAGCACGTTGGCATGTGCGGCCAAACGGGTTCTTGGGGTAGTGTGCGAACAGGTACTTGCTTCGGCAACCAGATCTTGCTCTTTGCGGGATCTCACAAAACCTCTCAACTTCATCATGGAAGCAGCGGCCGCACTGACAGGCAACTCAGCTTCGCAGCTGGAATCCATGTGTGGCACATGACCGTCAACCTTGAGCTGGATCAGGCCACCATCTGGACGAACCATGGTGGGTGCCTTTCCGGACTCTCTCAATGAAAAGAGTATCCTTGATCCAAGCACACCCAAAGCACTGCAGGAGAGCTCTCAAGGATGTAAGGCTGCGCAGGCTCACACAATGCATCGACACTGATGTCGGCGATTTCGGACGCAGTTATGTTTCCGTTTGCAGTCACAAGACGGATAGGCTGGGGCGCCTGCTTGCGGACCGCTTTGGCTACATTCCTCAAAGCAGCTTTGCTGATGAGGTCCTGCTCCCTGCCGGAATCAATGAGCCACACATCTTTTCCCTTTGGGGCAGTCGACATCCTTGCGAACATCGAGAGGCGGCATGGCAATTAGCAAGCACTCGTCGCAAGACAGGCTCCAAATGGAATCGGATTCCACATCACACATTGAAGCCACAAGCGGGCTGGGCTCCATTCTCAATGGCTTTGATCACGACATTCAACTGGTTCGCGGCCTTGCGTGCTGCCTTATTTCCTTTGAGAGGATTTGGGCAGTCGTTTAACATCCTATTGTACTGCCGCTCCTCATATTTGAGCTTGAAACCCTCACCTCCAGCGGGGATCTCACGCACATGAGCTTTGGTGCCAAAGGACACTCCTACCGGGCTGATCGGCTTTGCGAACATGGCGTACCTTGCGCAGGCTGCAGCGGCTTTGGCCTTTGGCTTAGGCTGTGGCAAATTCGCACGCCTCTGAGCCGCTGGGTTAGCATTGGCCTCGTTGCTCGATGCCGCAGCAGCAGACTTGCCGCCTGTGGAGACATGGCTAAACTTACACTTGTCGCTTCTCGTGCACTTTCCTTGCGCAAAGAAAGAACACGGTGGCTTGTCTCCCTTGTTGCCTCTAGGGGAACTTGGCCTGCTACGGGTCGCGAAGCGCGGCTCCTTGCGGCGCGCGTAAGGGCAATTTGCCCCTCTCGCACACGAGCCCTTCTGGAAGTCAAAGCAGTACTTCTCCTCGGCGTCCTTTGGCTTAGGTGCGCTTTTCTTCTTGGGGTCCTTCTTTTCAGGACTGCGGCACCAGCCTTAGGCGTCGGGGCTTTGCTTGCATTGACCTTGGACACACGCTCTCGGTTTTCGCGACGCCTATCCCTCTCAATCAGATCCCTCATGCAACGCATCAGGAAATCATACGATTTGTTGGGGTCATCATCACGGCAACAATCATATGTGTCAATGTCATACCGTAAGAGATGGCAGCTTCTCACTTGGCGAAGCAGGTCTTGCAACACCTTTTCTTCGGGTGGCTTTTCATGCCGGCAATGACGGAATCCCAAGCGTTCAGGAATCGCTTGAGGTCAATGATCCCTTCGCTGTGCCGCGAGACACGCAGCAGATCTTCCAAGGAGTAGAGGTTACCGGCTTCTTCAATGGTCTTGGTATTGGTCCAACATGAGAAAGACCTGCCGTCCCCTCATGGCGTTCTTCTTTTGCAGTCAGAATTCGCTGAGCAAGATCACCCTTCGCTGAGCGCGTGAGCGCTGCGAGAATCTTCGTGTCTAGGGTCACGAACTTTCCGGGCTCTCCAAGCGGTCAGACCAAACTTCCATGATCCAAGGCCAACTCGTCTGGTCGGTCAGATGCGGCGCGGACGTCCTCACGAACTGACGTTTTCCATTCACGGTACGTTTCAGGAGTTGGCATCTCCTTGATCTCGCTTTCACGAGTTCTGGGCTTTTCGTCACTCGTGTGGCCCTTTCCCAACTTCATCAGCATTTTGGCAAAGGGTTCCTGGCCCAAGGCCGTCACCTTCGTCCTCATCACCTTCACCGTCGCCGTTCATCATCACCGGCGGCGGACCGGCGGCTTTCCTCCCTTCTTGCGGTCAGCTGGCATTGGTTCTGGGAGAATTGCAGGGGCGGCACTGGGGCACTTGTCTTGGTTGGGGACCAAGCACTACCTGATGGCATCTCCGCTGATCCCTGCAGACCGCGAACATCCGCTTTCAACGCTTCACGGCAGGTGGCATTATGCTGGGAGTGTATTCAACTTCATAACCATCATTCGTGACAAGCGACCTCAGCTTCTCCTTGGCACACTGAAACGGATAAGACAAAGGGTCCAGCTCAGACTTTTGCGACCGAGCTGACCTCATGTCGTCGGCTGGTGAATCCTCTTGGGTATCACCCAACCCTTTAGACTTCGATTCTTCCCCGCGGAAGTCGTGTTGCTTCACTTGCTGGTTGGGATCATCAATCTCCTCCAGCAGAAGCCTGTTCTGGGCGGCCATCATGTCGGCGTTCCTGGCATGTGTTGCTTCGACACGCGCGATGTCATCTGCATGCTTAGCGGCCTGTTCCTGGAGGAGCTGCTGGGCATCCGCACTTCGATGGCTTGCCTAAATTCACTAGTTTTGCGTCTCATTTCCATTTCATGCATTGCCTGGGCCTTATCCTCACATAATCGGCTTATCCTAGCTTCAGCGTGGCTCACCTCTAGGTCTAGGTTGAACTCATCGCTCACTCGCTGTTTGTATTCACGAATTCTGTGCGACTGGGCTTGCACACGCTCAGCGTAATGTGCATGCAGCTGATTCTGTGCGACACGGAGCTCCGGTTTCCGCTTGCAGGTGCGTTACAGCTGCTTGATGCAGTGCTTCGGCTTCAGACCTAATAGCTGCATCATTCCCAAAAGCAAATATCGCCGCATTGTAAAGTTGAAGGGGACTCATTAGAGTGCGGTTGTGCTGTGCGAACCATCGTTGAGGCCAGGGGAAAAGTCCCGAAAGCACGACACAACATAAGCTCTCACCATCCCTTGGTTCAAGTTCATGAGGCCCGCAAAGAATGTCCTGGGCACACAGGATTAACCAAAAGCCATCAAAAAGGGAATCCTTCACAATTGATATCTCTTCCAACCGTCAATTCTCTAGAATCTGGTCATCTTTCCTCCCTTTCCCTTTCCTGACCGAATCATTTTGTTGGTGAGGATAGAGAAAGGGAAAGAGTGAGCGGAAAGATTGGACATGCTGTGTATCTCTTTGAGCTCACTTCACTCGCCTGCGTTTGGGCCAATGCTTACGGAATTCCGAGCACCCAATTCCAACCCTAAGCCGGGTTCTTTCCGGCTCAAAGATTTAATTGGTAATTCCAGTTCTTTGCCCTCAAATCGCTTGCGGCTCCTGTGCGCAGTTTGCTTTTTTCCTGTGCTAGCCTTTGCTTAGCTTTCTTTGTTTAACTAGTGTGAAATTGACTTTTCATATTGCTTTTGTCCTTCGATAAGAGTCGTTTCTCTTAAGAACGAATGCAGGTTTTCCGTAGTGACTAGGGAAGGATCGGCCGGGCATTGCCCGAGGAAACAACAGCACAGTTCGCCCGTCTGCTTCAACTCGTGGAGCCCGGAGCCCCCACCTTCCTCTGAGGGGGATCTACTCGTCTGAGGCAAAGCCTGGGCAACCGCGCGGCAAAGGAGGCCTCACCTTGGCCAGGGCAACCCAGAGAAGGGCTAGGGAGATGGTCCACCCCCTTTTTCTCAGCTGTTGGGGCCAACACCTGGAACAGTGGAAGGTCAGAAAACTGAGCCCCCCAATCCTTGTGCCAAATCAACCATGTGCCTGAGCTTCATTGAGTGCCCCCAGCCCCCCCCAAAAAAAACACATTTCAACCACTTGCCGCAGCACAACTCAAACCAAATGTGCCAAGGACGCTGGAAAGCGCGCTCGCGCGGGCCTGGTCTTTAGCACGCAACCTAAAACACCTGGCAAATGTGGCGAATCAAATTAATACATAAACTTCAGCACATGTTGGCATCTGCATATTCCTGGTTCCTACTTCCAAATCCCAGTGTCGCAAAGGAAGCAACTTGTCAAAAAAGGGCCAGCGCCCCGAACTGTCCTGTTCAGTCCAGGCTGCTGCTCTCCCGCAAGACGACGAGATCTTCAGTCATGTGCACCAGCGGTGGCTCGCGCTCCACCATTTGCGCCACGGTTGGTCTGGCAGGGGGTGCGAAGGAAGGCCTTGGCCATGCGAAGTGAGGCCATCCCACCTTGACAAAACCTATCTTCCACTTGGATGCCTGGGGAGCTTTCCCCTCTTGCAAACCAAGCAGCCCGCTGGCACCAAGCGGCGCAATCGCCGGCTCACCCTCACTAGCATGCGCTTCATTCTTCGGCCTTTCGGCGCTTCCGGAGCTGCGCACCTGGTGGGGCAGGGCATTCGGTGGCCCCAGACTTGGAACCGAGTGCAACGCACCAGAGGCATCCGTATCCTTGCATCATTGCAACGGACCACTCAAACAAAACGAATATGATATGATGGGCTTTTGTCCCATGAAACCTTTAGGAGCACGCTCCGACCAATGAACTTCACTGCTAAAATGCAAGCACCTGCCTCGCAGAAGGAGGCCAGGCTTGCGCGCAGCTTCAAGCGCACTTGCCCACAGAAGTCGCCTGCCGCAGGCAGATCACCCCCAAACAGATAGCGGGCTGGCCCGGCCATGCTGCAAATTTAAGATCAGCACCTCGGCGGGGCGCAGCCTCTCAAAAAGCTCGCCTGCGTCATGACCCTCCGCGGAGATGTGAAAGTAGCCTTGGCGCGCGTGAAACGCGAAGCTACAAAGCTGATGAGCTCTTGTACTGGGCATGTTCTGGACATGTTCGCTAAGCAAAGGGTACGCTCAAATGAGATGTCGATCCTCGAAGCTTTCCTGTCCAACTGCCATCCCACACAGCATGCATCAGCCCTTGCCTAAAAGAACATACGACCTCGTCTCCAGATGTGTGGCCCCAGGAACGCTGTGCCGCCCCAAGAACTGCTAGCCGCATTGCGTTTCTTGATAATGGAAAACTCACAGCTGGCGCAAACGCACAGGCCATTGCAAATAAGGCTAGCCGTCAAGGAGTCTGACTGCTTCAAAACGAAGCATGCTTCTAGCAGGACGGAACCAAGAAACTCAAGCATAAGAAGCATCCACTAGGGATCACGCATACCCGAGCTTCCATGTGCCAAAGTGTGGGCGCGACGCAGGGCCAAGTCGCATTGTACTCTAGCAGCAGAGATGCGCAGAGCACGTGGATATCGCAGACAGCTCCAAACAGCCAAGTGCAAAGCTCACCCTGTCCATGCCGCGCTGCAAAAGTGAGTCAAGGGGAAAAACTCTGGAGCACGACACCAAACTGAGCATCTCAATACTTGCGTCCCGATGTTTCCCTTAGAACATAAACCCACCCAGGAAAAACTCCTTTGACAAAGGCGATGTCTAGGAAGCGTGCTGAAGTACAACCCAGTGGTATGGACCCCTCTTGACAAACTAGGGACCGACTCATCCATGTTGGTGTCCTTTTGCTTCCCCTTTGTTGAAGAAGACAGACCCGTATCTGACTCCAAATCCTCGCAGAATGCTCGGAAACTCAATCACGATTCACAACCAAATGTGCGATGTTTGATGAATATGGTGGTTGTAAGCACTGTAGATGTTGTAGAAATGAGTTATCTCAAGAACCACCCAAACAGAAAATATCTAGGCACCGATGAGCCCCGTTGAAACCTGCAGTTTCGTCCGAGCAGCCGTCCAACTCGTGGAAGCCCGCGAGCAACGGCGCCAGGGACACCACCGCAGTGCCCAGGAGCCTTGGACCAGCCCAAGGATGCGACGCAGTCAACGGACATAGATTCTAAGATCTCCGTTCCCCTGCGAAAGTGTCTAACCTCCAGGTGGTTGAGGAAAAACAGGCCCCTAGTTGGACCCTGGCCGCAGCAGATACTTCCGGGGCAACACGGGCTGCGCCAACCAAACCTGACGTTGGCTGAGGGACATCTTGGACGGTCGCCGGCAATCGCGCGAGGCGTCTTGGTGCCAGAGGAACAACCTGCAAGGCAAGCAGCACGAGCAGCACAAAACAACATTTGCCCTGCTACAGCCTCAGAATGCGAATAGTAGAATAGGCCGCGCTCTCCAACGCAAGGCTGCTCGTGGGATCTCTCTCTCTCTCTCTCTCTCTCTGTGTGTCTCTTTCTCTGTGGCGTTTTGTAGAAGGTCTCGCTTGTCGCAAATCAGGAAATATCAGGAATAATCGTGAGATGCATTCTTGCCATGATATGCCTCGCCTGAGCGCAAGCGTCGCAAAGGCTGATGGATAGGACAGCTTTTCCCTTGCTGGATCTTCAAGGGGCAGGCGAAGTGTAGCTCGATGATCCCACGCCGGGCAAGTGCTGTGGTAGATGACATCCTGTCAGTGGCATGGCCATTGCATATCAACATTCCTAGTCACTGGCGGAAGCCTGCACAAAGGCATCATCCCTTCCAATGACCAACCAAGTCTGCGCCGGCGTAGCTTGCTATAGTAACGCTTGCAACACCAACAGGGCCAGCCCTCCGCGTTAAAGCCGCACACCCCACTACATGCATCCACTCAAGCCACGCTGATCTGGATTTGTCTCCGAACATGGAAAACCCCTTTGGTCTCGCTTTGAAACAGCACCACGAAGGGTGCGCTAAAAGGACACCCAAATACAATGCTGGCGCGAGCTCAAACCTCCGGGTGGATGCCGAGGTGCCGTGTGGCCAAGGTCCTCATCGCCTCCCGGAAGTTGCCAGCTGTAGGACACGAAGCTGTTGGGACACTTCCTCAGCGACGGCCGGCGCCGAGCACACCGGTCGAGCCACGAGGCGATGCTGCGAAAGAAGAGCCGACTATCCGCGCCCAAGCTGGCAGGTCACTCACGTTCCACAAGGGATACGGTTGAAGCCCTAAATATTGCAAGTGCGGAGCAGAAAAACAAAGGGCACAGTCCACTAAGGGAAGCACTGTGACATGATATCTATGGCCCCCCTTCCCCTAATACAATGTTGAACTTGCAATTTATTGGGCCTCGGAAGACGGGTTACGGGCTTGGCTTCAACATTGTAACTGGGGGGAGAGAGGTCCGCACGCAGCGGGCGATGCCACAGAAATGGTGTCAACATGTGCATTGGTGGCGCTTGCAATATTTAGGGCTTCCACTGTCTGGGGTGAGCAGTTACAGCAAGGCTATGTTTGCCTTCCAAAGCAGCCTAGACATGTGAAACTTGTGAAACTTGGCCAGAGCTCGTCCTGAAACTTGTTGGTATTTGCGTGAAACTCGTGAAACTCGTGAAACTTGGAAGAAAAGTAAGTAAGGGTTATTTTTCTTCCAAGTTTCACGAGTTTCACGAGTTTCACGCAAATACCAACGAGTTTCAGCACGAGTTCTGGCCAAGTTTCACAAGTTTCGCATGTCTGTGCAAAGGCAGGCGTCTCCAAACCCCAGGTTGCACACGTGTGGGGGCTGAGCAAGGCAAGTCTCTCCAAAGTCTTCGCACGCAGACAAAGAGACGGTGCGGAGCGACGGGCGCGGACGCAAAAAACGATGGACAGTCTACGCGAGACGGTTGAAGCCCTAAATAGTGCAAGTGCGGAGCAGAAAAACAAAGGGCACAGTCCACTAAGGGAAGCACTGTGACATGATATCTGTGGCCCCCCTTCCCCTGATACAATGTTGAACTTGCAATATATTGGGCCTCGGAAGACGGGTTACGGGCTTGGCTTCAACATTGTAACTGGGGGAGAGAGGTCCGCACGCAGCGGGCGATGCCACAGAAATGGTGTCAACATGTGCATTGGTGGCGCTTGAAAATATTTAGGGCTTCCACTGTCTGGGGTGAGCAGTTACAGCAAGGCTATGTTTGCCTTCCAAAGCAGCCTAGACATGCGAAACTTGTGAAACTTGGCCAGAACTCGTCCTGAAACTCGTTGGTATTTGCGTGAAACTCGTGAAACTCGTGAAACTTGGAAGAAAAATATCCCTTACTTATTTTTCTTCCAAGTTTCACGAGTTTCACGAGTTTCACGCAAATACCAACGAGTTTCAGGACGAGTTCTGGCCAAGTTTCACAAGTTTCGCATGTCTGTGCAAAGGCAGGCGTCTCCAAACCCTTGCAAGTTGTACACGTGTGTGGGCTGAGCAAGGCAAGTCTCTCCAAAGTCTTCGCTCGCAGACAAAGAGACGGTGCGGAGCGACGGGCGCGGACGCAAAAAACGATGGACAGTCTACGCGAGACGGTTGAAACGATGGACAGTCTACGCGAGACGGTTGAAGCCCTAAATATTGCAAGTGCGGAGCAGAAAAACAAAGGGCACAGTCCACTAAGGGAAGCACTGTGACATGATATCTATGGCCCCCCTTCCCCTAATACACTGTTGAACTTGCAATTTATTGGGCCTCGGAAGACGGGTTACGGGCTTGGCTTCAACATTGTAACTGGGGGAGAGAGGTCCGCACGCAGCGGGCGATGCCACAGAAATGGTGTCAACATGTGAATTGGTGGCGCTTGCAATATTTAGGGCTTCCACTGTCTGGGGTGAGCAGTTACAGCAAGGCTATGTTTGCCTTCCAAAGCAGCCTAGACATGCGAAACTTGTGAAACTTGGCCAGAACTCGTCCTGAAACTCGTTGGTATTTGCGTGAAACTCGTGAAACTCGTGAAACTTGGAAGAAAAATAAGTAAGGGTTATTTTTCTTCCAAGTTTCACGAGTTTCACGAGTTTCACACAAATACCAACGAGTTTCAGCACGAGTTCTGGCCAAGTTTGACAAGTTTCGCATGTCTGTGCAAAGGCAGGCGTCTCCAAACCCCAGGTTGCACACGTGGGGGGGCTGAGCAAGGCAAGTCTCTCCAAAGTCTTCGCACGCAGACAAAGAGACGGTGCGGAGCGACGGCCGCGGACGCAAAAAAACGATGGACAGTCTACGCGAGACGGTTGAAGCCCTAAATATTGCAAGTGCGGAGCAGAAAAACAAGGGCACAGTTCCACTAAGGGAAAGCACTGATGAATGATATCTATGGCCACCTTCCCCTAATACAATGTTGAACTTTTTGCAATTTATTGGG